TTAACTCAGGGTTAGGGTTAGAGTTAACTCAGGGTTAGGGTTAGATTTAACTCAGAGTTAGGGTTAGAGTTAACTCAGGGTTAGTGGTTAGAGCCAGAGTTACTCAGGTTCAGAATACATTTTTTAGTTCTCTTTCCATATAAGCACTGACTTTTCTGTTCCCTCCTCCTCTCCTGAGATCTTTCCCACATGTTTAACCATTATTCTATTTGTATAGCTTAACAATTTTAAACTGCCAAGCTAACAACTTTAGTATTTCACTTTTGTTAAATTTGTTTGAAAATAACATGCTGGAATTAAGGACTGATCCTTAATTTGCATACAATATGTTAATTTATTTACTGTGGTCTCACTCTTTTAACTCTATCTGGCCTGGACTTTGCTCTGTAGACCAGGCTGGCCTCAAAGTGACACGAGACCATCTGCCTCTGCCTCTCATATGCTGGGATTCAAGGCCTGAGCCACCATGCCCAGCCTAAGCATGGCCTTAAAAATACCTTCCAGTTAATACCACCATTCCACATGCCAAATGACTCTTATGAAAGATGGCTCTGGAAGTAATAATTTGAATTAATGGCCACATTGGTGCCCAACAAGATATTTGGCTTACATACAGACTGCAATGAGATTGTAGTAAACTGATCTGATAGAGAAAGAGACACAATCAAGCCTTCTGTAGCTGCTCAGAGCACAACTCTTCCCTCGGAAAAATCGCCCACTGTGGGGGCAGCAGGGATAAATTTCTTGCTACTCTTTCATGACAAATGGTGAATGACTTAATCCTTTTTAAATTTCATGTTTTGAGATGAGTTGGGTGGAGACCCACTATGCATTTCTGCAGGAAGATTAAAGAGCATACAGATGTGCTTTACCCTTTATACCACTCATTAGGAAACACCAGCATAGCCCTTCGCAGTTGATGGCTTCTGGTGGGGGTGGGGGGATGAAAGGACTCAGTTATCTTTAATGGGCTGGCCACTGGGAGTTTGACCATGTTCCAATGAGTATATGGGAAACCCAAATTGGACTTGGTGTATTGTTTTCTTTTTTCGGGGGAGGGCTCAAAGGTAGAAAGGTATGGGAGGAGTGGGAATTGAGTGTGATCAAGGTGCATAGTATGAAATGTTCAAATAATCAATAGGGATATTATGTTGGGAAAAAATAAAGAAAAAGCAAATACCAGCATTTACTGCATGGTATAATATTGCAAAGCTATGTAAATTGTATTTGCCCACAAATGTTTCTGTTCTGTTCTGTTAAAGATGTTAAGAATCAAGGTTTGTATGGTAAGAAGTGTATATAAGAAAAACCCAGTAGGGAGATATAATCAATGTTAAAAGAGAATGAAGCTATCCATAAGAAGTGAGGTATATGGGTATGCAGATACATACATGTATGGTGTGTTGAGAAGCTCTGTCCAGAAAAAGGGCTTAGAAGAGGTGTGATGAGCACCCATTGCCCTCCAGAATCTGTTCACAAGAACTATAAAATGGCCGAGTCCAGTACAAGGGTATAGGAAGCTGAGCTTCGGATATCATGTTAGACAAGAAAGTAGGACAACTTTCAAAATTTAATGCACTTTTGTCAACCGAAGGCAGAAAAATCAAGCTCAAAATAACTCCCATTATCCCAAAGTGTGCCAACTTAGGCAGCAAACGCAACATTGACTGTGACAGGCAATATTATGAATGGCTTTCCCAGGGAGCAAAGGTGATAGGGTGCCTGCTTACATGTGTCTTTTGTTCTGTATTGTAAAAAACCACCTCCAATGGTGCTCAGAGAGAGGAAGAGAACAATCTGGCTAGAAAGGAGTCTTCCAGAGTATTGGAAAGAGAGATGTAACTGTGTGTCAAGCCATAGACTTCAGATTTGTAGACTTTCTACTATATGTTATACTTCAAAAAAAAGAAGCGCTGAGTATAATGTATATAACAGTAAATCACTATTAAATCTACAATGCTCAAAAAGACAGGCAGGCAAAAGCTGGGCAGTCGTGGCAGATATCTTTAATCCCAGCACTCGGCTGGCAGAGGCAGTTGGATCTCTGAGTTCAAGGTCAGTCTGGTCTATAGAGTGAGTTCCAGGAGAGCCAGGGCTACCCAGACAAACCCTGTCTCAGAAAACAACAACAACAACAACAACAAAAACCTTAAGGCAGAAAACTCATGTTCCATCCTTCAGGGCAGTGGTTCTCAACCTGTGGGTTGTGATCCCTGGGTGGCAAACCAGCCTTTCACAGGGGTCACGTATCAGATATTTGCATGACAATTCACAACAGTAGCAAAATTAGTTCTAAAGGAGCAATGAAAATAATTTTGTGGTTGGGGTCACTACAACATGAGGAACTGTTTTAAAGGGTTGCAGCATTAGGAAGGCTGAGAACTACTGCTTTAAGGTGACTTTTAATTCAAATGCTTACCTTAAAAAATGGGTAAAAGGGAATTGAATTTTCCCTTTAAGTTTAAAGGAAGAAATTAAACACATATTAGAAGAATTACAGTATGGCCTTTGTTAATGAGAATGAGCTGTATTATGGAGGAACATAAGTCAATAGTTACCAAAGAATGATTTTTTTAAAGACTGTATCATTTTACAAAGACTAATAAAACACTGATGTAGGAGCAATTTAACTTCCTCTTTTCCTTTCCCATTTGGGTGTCTTTTATTTCTTTCTCTTGCCTAAATGCTTTCTATACTACACTGGACAAAACTGGTAAAAGTGGGTGTCCTTATCAGACCAAAATGGTCAACTAGGATAAAAACCAATAGGTAAATGGCTGATGGGTAATTATACTTTTGTAAAGCACCTCCCTCCAAAAACAACCACCACCACCAACAAAAAAAGACCCCACATGGATTACTTCCTAGTGAAAAAAGGCTGAATTATACTACAGAGCAGTGGTTCTCAACCTATGGATTGTGACCCCTTCGAAAAACTTCTATCTCCAAAAAATAGACATTACAGCTCATAACAGTAGCAAAATTACAGTTATAAAGTAGCAACAAAAATAATTTTATGGTTGGGGGTCACCACAACATGAGGAGCTGTATTATAGGATTGCAGCATTAGGAAGGTTGACCATAGAGGAATCAGATAGCCATCACCTAAATTATGGTCTACCCTTAGCATCACAGATAATGGATCAACCAGAAATCATACGTCTAAACATATAATTCTGCAACAGTACTGATGGAGTATTCCAGCGGGGGAAAAAAATAAAAAAGCTCCACTAAGAGCCTTTATAACAACTTTGATTTCCATCAAATATGGGAATAAGAAACAACCTAAATGATACTTCAGAAAAGAACTAAACACATCAAGGTAAGGATGTTTTGTTGACAAAGTCTTTCAACAACAGCACTTTCTATATTAAAAACAACTTGAGACTATCCAGATATGTCATGTGGTCCTGGAATGGATCCCAGTTTGGAAAATTCAGGAATTTTTTAATGAGATGAAAGCTACTGACATGGAAAAGTAGAGATGGTTAAATGAAACCAATGCATATTGTTCAACAGTATGAAAAGTGATCTCACTTGGAGAAAATACATACATATGTAAATAGCAAATTATCTAAAATAATAGAAACAAAACTGTACCCATAGCAATGGCTGAGTTGTGGAAATACAATGATTTTTCCTTTCTTTTTCAACTTATTATTTCCTAGATTTTTTTGTTTTGTTTTTTTTACAACACATAAATAAAAGATTACTTTAAATTGAAAAATTGGAAACCAAAGACTATTTTATAAACATAAAATAGTGATACTTTACTAACTAAAAAAAATGATAGCTGTTCTATGTGTAACAACTTTTCAGTTTTGATAATTTATTGTGATAAACTATACATAATTAGAACTTCCTGTCAGCTACTTTTAAGTGAGTAGCTTAGTTGCTTGGGCCTATTCATACTCCTGTACAACCATCACCATGCCAAGTACTTTTTCATCCTCACAAGAGAAAATTGGTACTCCCTAACGATTCCTCATTCTCCCTCCCTCCCCAAGAGGCTTGGCATCCACCCGGCTACCTTCTGATTCTGAAATCTCACGAAAGTGGAATAGCACTATTTATACTTTTGAGTATGGCCTATTCCACATCAAATTATGACTTCAAGATTCATCTACACTGAAGCACGTATCAGAATTCCCTTCTTTTTAATGCTTCACTGTGTGGGTAGAATCCATTTTGATTGATTAATTTCACAGTAGAACAAACTTCTACTCACTGTCAATACCTCTCAAGTACAAGGATTCCTAGGACAGTGGGAATTCCATTTAAATGATGATTGTAGCTACCCAATTCTTGTTCTCCTTCTCAGCATAAAAGACTTTCTCCAATCTTCCTTTCTTTAAGGATCACTTTGGTTGTCCAGTGATTAAAACCACAGAGAATGTGTGGCACAAAAATATTGTTCAGTTGTGTGCCTGGTACTTTCTGGAGACAAGTCAGATATTTTATAATGATAATCAAAGTGGTTTCTTACTGTTTAGCCTTGTATTTTGATGCATCCCTGGGTTCGCTACTTGGATTGCTCCAGTCATCAGCTTCAGGAGTTGTCTTGTAATGGCGCCATGCAGACTTATTGAAAACGGGCAGCCTCTCAAATGATTCACTAGAAAGGGCCTATTAGAAAAAAGTACATACACCAAAGATCTAGGATTCTATTTTTCTCACATGAAATTCACACATTTTACTCTTTTAAACACCAGTAACCATTTTTTGAAATTAAAATTTATTTTACAAATTCACTTAGGCTGGCCAGGAGAAAGATCCTGAACCCTTTCTAAATGAGTGAAATCATTTGCTCACTCCCTCGCCCAAAATCAGTACTGAAACACATATGACAGGAACAAAACACATTGTAATTCAGTTAATATTGCTTTGTGATACTTAATAGTTTTGACAGTATGTGCTTAGATCAAGTATTTTTATTCAACAGGCAACTGCTGCCCTAAAAAAGCCCCAGAAGAAATAAAGCTTCATAAACATTTGCCAACAAATGATATTAAACATAACCTCGTTTAGGAGCTGGGAATGTAGCTCAGTAGTAGAGAGCAGGTATAGTATCATGCAGGAGGCTCTGGGCTCCATCTCCAGCCCCAGAGCAAGCAAACTAACCCCATGTTGAGATATAGACATCCAAATAATGAGTGCAATTGTGATATCATTTCCAGTACTATACTTGGTCACGGTTAAAAAGAATGAGTCAGTTCTACACGAATCAGTGTGGAAAGTTCTATAAGATACATTCCAAAGTTAAGAAACAAAACCAAGCTGCTGAAATGTCTTTTTGGATTAGGTTTTTTTTTATCTATTTATAAATGCAGAACCAACTCTATTATAGCTTTTTGATGTTGCTATTTTTGAGACAGGGTCTCACTATGTACCCCGGGCTGACCTGGAACTTTCTACATAGACCAGGCTAGCCTGTCTATGCTTTCCAAGTGCTGGGCTTCAAGTTGTGTGCTACCACACCCAGCTCCTCTATTAGATTTTTGTTTGTTTTACTTTTGTAATAAAGGACCCAGAGCCTTGTACATGCTAGGAAAGATCTACACCACTGAGCTACATCCCCAGCCCCTATAAATACAGAATCAACTCTAGGAGGATCCATAAGGAACAAAAACCCAGTGAAGACAAGTGTGGCTTAGTGCCAGCAGTGAGACGCTTCATTTCCCACTCTGAAGTTTTTAAATGTTACTATACACCTCTATTACCTATTGAAATAATATACCAAAATTCTAGAATTCAGAAATAGAAGTCTAACACCACCAGTAAATGAGAAAAACTGTGTGTTAGAGAACTTAGTTATCAGATGACTAGTTTAAATGGCCATTATTATGATTTTTTGACTTAAAAATACTGTACAGTGAAAAGGGTACACTAAGGCACTTTGGTATAGAATTTGTTTTGCTGAGTCTCCTCCCATCTCCCTTTTCTCTTGTACCCCTAGGTCTACCCCTGTGCACCCTCTCAACTCCAGGGGTTTTCTGCTTTTGTGTGCTGTTCTACTATCCTCCCACCCATCCTCAAAAATCTCTTCTCTCATGGACCTCTTTACAGTTTTGTGACCCATACTGATGCTCATTTCCACATATGTACATATATATAGACATACACACAAATTAAAAGCTATGGTCTGCATGAGAGCAAGCATTCAGTATTTGTCTTCCTGAGTCTGGGTTACCTCACTTGACATAAAGATCTACAGATCTTTTTATATAAAGATACTAAGCCGGGCGGTGGTGGCGCACGCCTTTAATCCCAGCACTCGGGAGGCAGAGCCAGGCGGATCTCTGTGAGTTCGAGGCCAGCCTGGTCTACCAAG